GGCGCTCCCAAGCTCCGCGAGCCCGAGAACTGCCGCAGCGATCTCTTCAATCACGCATCTAGGCGCTCCCAAGCTCCGCGAGCCCGAGAACCGCCGAAGCGATCTCTTCAAACACGCATCTAGGCGCTCCCAAGCTCCGCGAGCCCGAGAACTGCCGCAGCGATCTCTTCAATCACGCATCTAGGCGCTCCCAAGCTCCGCGAGCCCGAGAACCGCCGCAGCGATCTCTTGAAACACTCATCTAGGCGCTCCCAAGTTCCGCGAGCCCGAGAACTGCCGCAGCGATCTCTTCAAACACGCATCTAGGCGCTCCCAAGCTCCGCGAGCCCGAGAACCACCGCAGTGATCTCTTCAAACACGCATCTAGGCGCTCCCAAGCTCCGCGAGCTCGAGAATCGCCGCAACGATCTCTTCAAACACGCATCTAGGCGCTCCCAAAACACTCTGGTTCACTCCCTCATCGGTCGGGGTGCCGACCTCTCTACCTTTGTCCGCCATACCACCTGACCCCCCTGGGTTCACCGTGTGCCCCTGAGCTTCTGGTGGTAGTGTCGGGGTCACGCTTGGGCCCAACAACGTCTCTTCGGGGATGACAGACGATGGTGACCATCCTGGTGGGGAACTTGTCTCGAAGGCCCTTTGAGTCCACTCCTCATCCATCTCCTTAGTCAAGTTCTTCTTTGAACTATCACCTGCCATGATCCTTGTTTTCTACTTCTTTGGTGAGAAAAAAAAACAGCCTTTGATACTCCGGTAGAAGACTGATTCTCCCCACAGACGGCGCCAATTTGTTATACCACAAATACTTGAACCGCTGGACCTCTCCTTTCGAACCGGGTTGCGTCTCCTTGATCGTCGGTACCTGCAAAGCACGCCGGGGGTGGTCCCGGCGCGAACACTCCGACGCTAAAGTCAGTGACGGTCTAGAGAGAAAACGACAGAGTAACGAGATAACTCCTGTATGTGTGTTGTGTAAAATGAATGAACCTGCTCCCTTTTATAGGAGAAGTCTAGAGAGTCCTCATGAGACAAGAAGTCTTCCTCATGCATATCTCTTAATTAGGTCAACAGATTATGAATCCATAGAGTCCTTGAAGCTGTGAACTTCTTTATGAC